TCTCTTTTTTGGTCAAATATAATTGACATCCAACCGGTGAGTAGAATGAAATAGCAAAAATTGTTTTCGGCGACAAAAAAATTTTGGTCGGCAAAATCTTTTCCAGAACAAGTGTCGCCGACCAAGCTAGAGACCAAAATTTTTAGTCGGGAAAACCTTTTGGCGACTAAAAACAGCCATTTGGCGACCATAGTTTTGGTCGGCAAAAGTGTTTTTTCTTGTAGTGAATTTACATCCAACCGATGAGTAGAATGAAACAGGACGGAAAGCAAAAACAGGCATGCGACATAGAATAAAAACATGATGAAAACAATAATCCGGAGCCGTGAATGTGTTCCCAAAAGGGCCATAACGTATTTAAATGGCTCCCTTAGACAATATATTACTCCCTCCGTCCCAAATTGATTGTCTGGTCCGCAAAACGGAGTGTTAAAAATAATACAATTTTTTCAAGAAAAAATTAAAACTTTTTTCACAAATTAAAAATACTCATTGATATCTACTAGTAAGTTGTTAAAATTTTTTTGATTTTTTCTTGCAAAAATTGTATTATTTTTAACACTCTGTTTTGCGGACCGGACAATCAATTTGGGACGGAGGGAGTAAAATACAAGGGCAAGTCGTTATATATTTTTTTTTATCCAAAAAAATTCTACTCTATACTATCATTTGGCAAGGGGCCGAGTGGGGTTTGAATTGCAGCAAATGAACTGTTCATTACCTGCTCTAGCAACAAAGGCTCAGGGACGGAGTTAAGAATTTCACTACATGGGAGCGACTATGTATGCTAGACAAAAAATAACAAAAAACATGTTTAACAACGTAAATACATTAGAACTCAAAAAGTATAAAAGAGCAACATTCCATACATAATTATGCTTTTCACAAAAACAGTAACGACTTATCTCAGCCTATTTAGTAAAACAAGTCATCTTCACTTGCATGCACTCGACGCTCTTTCATGTCATTAAAATCATCGATAATAGAATCAACATGAAACCCCTATGCAATATCCTTCTATGTGTAAATAATCTAGAAACTTGCTAAAAGTTCATTTCGGAATCTGGTTTTCACACATTTCATAGCTACAATTCCGATTTCACCAAAGATTAGTTAGAGTTTTCAAAATCTCTTCTCCTCTGTTCCTAATTTCTTGAAACTGACTTCAAAATCTTGTCGATGAAGGATTTAAGTGGAGATCTAGAGAGGGGTCTGGTGTGTCATGAAGATTTTAGGGCAGAGAGAAGAAAACATGTGGAACCCTCTTAACGATTGAGAATTTTTGTGAGAGAAATTAGGAGTTTATTAATGGAGTACTCACAATGTTAACCCTTAAATTTTATGTTTTGTTATATTTTAACCCGTAGCCTTTAGATTTTTATGTTGATTTCCTTGTACTTCAAAGGGTTAGTGCTATTCGAATTTTTTTTTGTCAAAATACTAGAGGCGCGAGCCTATGTACTTTCCTAAAAAATTACTACCTCCGTCGCTAAATGTTTGGCCGTTTCGCAAAACGAGAACTCAAAAATAATGCATTTCTTTCAAGAAAAAATTCAAACTTTTTTCATAAATTAAAAGAATTCATCGATATCTAGTGAATTGTTGAAAAAAATTTAATTTTTCTTGCAAAAATTGTATTATTTTTACTTCCTCATTTTGCGAAATGGACAAATATTATGAGACGGAGGGAGTATTATTTTTTCAATATAATAATAGAGGTCTTTTTTTTCTTTGCAGGACGACCGCGCTACTGACCCCTACCTGACATGAGTCAACTTGCATGTCGCTGTTATGAGAGAGAGAATAAAGCAAAAAACCAAAGGAAAAGTTCCAGAGGGGCCATTCTTATTATTTTGGAACTCAGGGTACACGATAATTATGCGAAGACAAAGACAACTTTTTAATAGTAGTTAAGTAGTCTAAAAGAGAAAAACTTTATAATGGGGCCTTCCGTAATTTCAATCTCAACCGTTCAAAAGCATTTTAAATGGTTCAAATGAAAAACAAACTCTTAACGGTATATTACTGGTAATAGTTTAAAAACGTATCTCAACTGTTAATAGCCGAAACGGACGAGTGAAATTGCGTGGAGCCGTGAATAAGTTTCTCTCATAATCTAATATGCATTATATATTCCTTCATCAACGGTGGCAGAACCATAAACTTCATGTAGGGCACCAATTAATCATAACCTTAAATAAAAATTCTCAATCAGACACAATTTTATATGCAAAAGTTTCCTAAAAATAAGAAAAAGAGCTGAATATTCTCCGCTTGCATGTGCACTGTCACAATTGATCCGCCTAATTTTTCTTTTCTCTCGAAAGTTTTGCGTGATTGTTTTATTAACAATTTCAAATATCTATCTGTGTTCATATAACAAGGTGTCGTTCAACTATTGATCATTCATTCTGTTTCGAAACCAATTCTCGGTCACAATGTTTATAGCTTAAAATACTCTCTCTCCCGCTAGCAGTTGCAATCTGCGACAAAACAACGGTGGACGACGGTGAACGGGAGATTAGCGACGGAGAATGGCAATCGGTGTGCGGAGTGGAAGTGGAGACGTGAGAAGGTGACTTCTCCAGTCCGAACGTGCTTTGATTTCCTAGCCATCAGGACTGATAAACAAACAAACATAGGTCCTTTTGCTAAACCGAAAGGGTAAAGGAGGGAGCGGCCCGTGTAGCAGCCCTTTTCTGAATGTGACCATAGAAACTGTAGACTCGCGGCGGGTCTCGAAAGTCACCAAAGAGCTATAGCAACTACAGCCCAACTAAGGGCTAGTGGAACACAGCCGAGTTTTACAAGAGGGCAAAGTTCGAGTGAGCGTCGTTAGCACGATCCAAATCTTAGATGTTTGGACAACCCAAAGCACTTGGGATAAAGTAGTAAGCCATGAACCACCAGATTACCAGATGTGCCATGACACGAGAAAACTTTAAATAAAATAAACAAAAAAAACCAAACAGCGGCTTAATTTACAAATTAACAGAAAATCCGATAAATCGTAAGATCATTAGTTTTGCCCTTTTTCCTGTGTGGAAAATCAGGCATGAAGGATCTCCAGTGGCTAATTTGTTTTTTTGGGATCTGGTCTCCTCTTTCCCGAAAACTCATGTGCTTCTGTGCTGAGAGATTTTCTGAACTTTAGTTCGTGTGATTTTTTTATTTTATTTTAAATTTAACAGCCAAAAAACCCATCGACCCTCGGCATAGAGGCATATGAGTTTTCTGACCTGCCTCTTGTTTTCGTCCTATTGGATATTTATGTAATACTGTAAGTCTTTATTAATATACAGTACTACTTATCAAATTTCTTTGTTCTGGGGCCCACACGTTAACTGATGTTATCATTTGGGAAGCATTATTGGGAGAAATTTTTCGGGGCCGAATGGGTATATCCCACATGGTATTCGCTCGGCATATCCTAGTCGTCTAATACACTTTTAGGCGGTTCGGATTGAAACTCTTTCTCTTCTCTCACTTCAACACTTTCTCTCTCATTTTTCTCTTTTCAAATCTAAGCCATCCAAAAACACAATGAACGACTCGGATGGGCCAAGCGGGCACCATGTGGTACCTACTCGACACTGAAAAATTTCCCCATTATTGGGCTGCTTGATCTTTTCTTAAATTCTTTCAATTGTTTGAATTGTGATTCGGACGGTGATTCAGACCGTTTGTCTTAAAAATTACGCAAAGGATCTTATTTTTATATACTATATATAAATTAAGCATTTGTAATGGCCTGAGAATTTAGAAAGTCAAATATTATGATCAAAATCGTAAAAAAAAATCTCTAAAAGTCGAAAATAATGCAAAATAGACCATTTTCTTCATGTCATTATTCGTCTTTTCTGAATTCTTTTTAATTTTGATACATATTTTCGTGTTTTTTTTTAAATTCCCGTCGATACTAATATATGATTCCAAATATTTTGATGAAAAGCTAAAAATAAATTCCACTAACCATAGGGAGTACTCACTTCCTTTAATAACAAAAAAAAAAAAAAATCATTTAGTTCAAACTGTCCGTAATTTTGTATTGGAGCCGAGGAAAATAGGAAATTTTTTGGTGGGAACGAATGTGAATAGAGTTCCTAAAATGAATGAATCAGGACAGCTGGTCCAATAATTATATGACTTTACTCACATGCCGGTTCACAAAAGTCTCTTTGCTTACAGGGGTAAGACTGTGTACATTAACCTTTTCTCAAACCTGCAAAGGCAGAAGCCTCGTGCACTGAGTTTGCCCCCTTTTGCTCATGTGCAGGTTCGATTCCTATGTAGATGATGTTGAAACTCTTTGCTGATAGTTGATTTGGTTGTATTTTTGGAACATTTTCAAGGTTCATTCCATGATTGGAACCACTGGTTATTTTTGGCAATACTAGCTAGGAAAATTAGTCGCACAAAAAATTTTATTGATTGGATTTCGTTTGATATGTGTTTAAAACAAATCTATCTTGAGAAAAATGAGTTTTGAAACAGTGTCGCAATGTTTTCGAAACCTCTTTTCTCAATGAAAATTAATCACAAAAGCATACCAAACGATATGCGAAAACTGCAAAAAAAAAAAACTTTAGAGTGATGAATGTTTTTTCATTTTTTTGTGACGAAGGAACCACCTCACAGTAGGACCACTTATTGGACCCACCCATAGAGCGTATACTTTCAGGCGAACGAAGCATACTACTACCCCACCCGCCATGCACATCTTGGGTACCAACTCCTGTGAGGAATCGAACCCTGCCATTTTCCAGGCAATGGGCTCACCCTAATCTCTGAGACAACCCTTGGGTGGTTTGTGATTAACGGTTTGTGAGCGAGATCTAAAAATTGAACAATCCCGATCATCAAAACCGACTCAGAAAAGAGCCCGAAAATGCATGGACTGTACCATCCAAGACCTTGGGATCCATTTTCAAGCTGAAAACTTGGTAAAAGCGACAGTTTCTAAAAAGTGGAAAAAAGAGAAAAGAAGAGTTTGACAGGATCGCCCACCGCGGGGCTTGCACCCACGACCGCAAGGTTAAAAGCCGTGCGCTCTCCCAACTGAGCTAGACGGGCTTCTTGCTAACCTTATTTGTAATTTTAATATTTACACTATTCTGTCCCCATATTGTCAAATTAAATTGATTTAAACTTGAATCTGTGAGGTAGAATAGGTCCCACTTTTTGACATCATGCTTAGGAGCTAAACAAGAAAAAAGAACCCATTTAATCGTTCAGACGAAAATTACGTAAAAAAGAAGAAACAATTTATAAATCAGAACAGGCATTTGAAAAATCACGTAAAAGAAGCACCTTACCATTTGGGCTAAAACAATTTATAAAAAAAAAAAACATAGAACAGGCATTTGAAACCTAGGCAAAAGGGGACTTGGGGGAGGAACAGTAGCGCTCAATCTCACTGTCCAAAATAAATTTTGGACAGTTTGGATTTTAAAAGATCTCTTCCAAGGAAAAGTTCTTTTAAAACCTAGACCATTGATTGCCAAGATGGACGGTGAGATTGAGCGCTGCAAAGACAGCAGCCCCCCAAGTCCTGCAAAAGGAGCACCGTACCAGTTGTGCTGTCGTAGATTAGAAATTTATTGCATGTATACACAGGAAAAAAAAAAAGTTTCCAAACCTTTGTAGTTTCAGGCTTTGGTATTTACTACACAAGTAAGTATAACACCAGCAAATGAGTACATTCGTTAAAGCAGAAGAGCAAATATAACTGCAGCCATTTCAACCATCTCTTGGCTATACTTAAAGATCTGGGAAGGCAAGGGTACAAAAAAAGTCTCAATGCACAGCCAAGTTAATACTATAAAGCCCAAAAGCATAACAAGATGTAATAAAGCCGAATGTTACAACAAACTTTCTATTCGATGAAGTAACTCCATCTCATGCAAGTGAAGGTATGGACTGAACAACAATTTCCTTTCTGCGCCTTTTATCTTGAAATACCAGTTTGCCGGAAGCAAGATGGTTTCACATGAGCAATATAGATCACTATAACTAGGAGAGTTGAGAACATCGAATAAGCAGAACCAAAGAATAACTCAGCATCGTCAACCTCGCACAGGGAAGTCCATATTATAACATGTTGGGTTACAGGGGTACGGGCAGTCAATGTGTTTTGCAACTTTTCTGTTAAAGTACCAGTCACCAACAGACTCCGCAATTGTCTGTTTCACAAGCATTAAAACAGTCACAAAGCTTGATTACAAATAGACGTATAGTAAAGCTAGATACAATTTGAAAAAGCAGATTTGAGCGCTCGAACAAAAGTCATCACGGGCACTGACAATAACGGCTAAAATATCATATGCACCAGAGATTCACGAACGTATGTGGTAATCAATATAGCATGCTGACCTTCCATGCAGGGTTGAGGAAGAATATGCCATTTTAAAGAAAATAAACACAAATTGGCATGTCAACAAGTCAAGACTCATCCAGTTAGTTAAAATTATGCACGGGTAGGCCGTGCTTGCAGATTTGGTATCCGACAAGATAAAAGAGTCCATGAAAAATCTTACCCTATTGTTAATTCTTGTGGAATTTGGAGAATGCCATGTCACACTCATCCATGTCTGGCAGTGAACAAAGCATGAATCTATAAACACTCCCACATCCTTGTTTTGCGGGAAATCACTAAGTAGCTTCAGCAGTGAATTACGATAACCTGTATATGGTACTTCCAGTCATGAATCGCTGCAAAATACAAGAGAAAAATGATACAAAATATCGCACAGAACTCATAGAGCATGATACCTTCTAGAACTTCAATCTGGCTTGGACTACAATTATTAATATTCAGCTTGCAGCTTAACCAGCTCCCACGAGGATCAGATGAATCTGGTACGAAGATGTGTTGTATCTGAAAAATATGTGGTCGACAGGAAAATGAAGCAAGGATAAGCAAAATGAAGCAAGGAAAATGAAAAAGCCTAAATTGAAAAATGGAACAGGTCATCTGGAGGAGGGGTTACCTGCCAAAAATCATAAGCTGGGTGGACAAGGAAAATCGATGTCTTTATGTTTTCAATAAATTCTTGAGGAAAGAAACACTGGAATTGCAAAGTAAAAGTGACCGCAGATCAGACGACACAGTTGAGCACCAAAAGAGAGAAAATCTACCAAAATAAATGTTACCACCTGGAAAAACTACTACATTACATTGATACCTACCTTAGCCTGTTGGCCCGGTTCCATCCTCGCAATACAATCCTTGTCCAAACTTTTGGCTATACCCTAACACAAAAAACAATAAATCATGGGCCATCAGCAATGACTGTAAGAACAAAAATTGCACTCGGATAAGAGATATTGATGTAAATAAATGTAATGGTTGCACTGGTGAAGTGTAATCGTGATGACAAAAGTTAGCCAAACAAGTGTCCCAGATCATAGTTTGTTGAAGAACACCGGGTCATCTTGAACATACTGTATTTTGGTTATGGTCATCTTCTCAATTCTGAAGTACATATGATACCTTATAGTGAAGTTATGGATGAGCAAAAAATATCATCCTTTAGCACACAAAACAGAAAAAATGAAAAAAAATAAAATAAAAAGCAAGATAACTGACAAGTTGTAGAAAACTATACAATGTTTGAAAACTATTTGACACTGATGAATAGATTAACAAGAACTTCCAAGTCAACGTGCTGATATGAAAGACAAACAAAGACAAATTGTGTAATTTGCAAACAGTAAAACTTAGTCCCAACCTGGAGGTTAACAACATCTTGATAGAAAGATTCAATGGTGCGATTTCCACCAATATCTTTCCTGTAATAAATAAAACATCAAAAAAAACAAAGAAATAAAGAGGACTTTAGCAATAAACAAGCTAATCGTACAGGTAAAACAAGCTTTCAAGAGTCCATCCAGAAATTTCTTAAAGAGACAAGGTCTTGGGAGTTGTTTAACAAATGCAAGTCAATCTCCCAAATAGAGACACATATAATGTGAGATTGATAAGGAATTAGCTTTACATTTCTGTGAAAATGTCAATGGAAATTAAATGGTCAATAAAATTATAGGAACCTACTGAGGGAATAAAAGACGAAGCACCCAGGAATGGGTTGCCTCTGTCGGGGTAAATGCAGCCAAGTGAGAATGCTGGATGTGAAGGAGGATGCGAAGTGAAGCCCCACCTGGTTTCGAAAGGTATGTGGAGCAGCAGTATGGAAGCGTGAGGGAACCTCACGTCAATAACTACATTTTGGGGTTGAGCTTCACCCAAGACCGTATAACAAGCATTACCACATACGTTACCACTAGTATTATCAAACTTAGTGGTTTCCGTTTTGAATTGTTCGATGACGAGTTTGTGTATCTTAAAAAGTATATTGTTGAGTGATTGAGTCCAATACATGGATTTCTGCACTTTGCCTTGGATTAAATGGTAGACAATAATGCCCATCTCAACTAAGCTAAAACTCTACCGTACAACTCACCTATCAGAACAAAAAGTTCTACTGTATGAGAAGCACAAATCATCATGACAGATATTGCATAAAGGATGGCAAAATAGTCATGCTAAAAGTATCAACCTCAAAACCGATTGGCAATGAGTGAGAGGCCACTTAGGCTTATATACTAGTTTTAGAGGTAGTAATTAATCAATGTGGGACAAGCTCAGAAGTCAAAATAGAATATTCTGATAAAAAGCTCTCAGTCTCACTATACGCTGTCATCAAGACTCAAAGTTAACTGCCAGAATTTCACTGTGATTTCCACACGTAAACCATAAGTTGATATTATCAAAAGAAAAACTGAACCCCGAAACTCCTTATAAAAAAGATTGAGGAACTATGGATATACAAAGCAGAGAAAATCATGAGAATATACTCATTAAGGAAGAAGCCTGCGTCGGCAAGACATTTGACAGTGGCAGTTTTTGGCAAAATTTCTTGGAAGTCATCACAGTGTATCAGAGTGGCCAACCCTCCAGCAGAACAGCCTGAAAGAAGAGCCTGTGGAGTTATCAAATGCATTAGTAGGAAGTAAGAACCTACAATTGATTTTGAAGGTTGGCCAACGTATTTCTTCAATTTGACAATAAAACCATGACTCACAATTTCCACTAAAATAATGCTAATACAAAGTTGACCGCACAAAGAGTGTCAATATACTGCAAATGACACCTTCAATTAACATATTCCGAGAACTACTGAAGGAACAGATAAAGGAGAGAAGCATACCATAACTTCTACCCACTACAACGATGACAAGAAATTCTGGATTTAATTGGAATTTCAGCCATTTAAGGATTTAATAGTTGCTAATTAACCTCAAAAAGAGTTTGTCTTCAACCATGAAACCATTGTCACGTAAATGTTGTTTCAGCCATGACTCAATGTAATCAACCCAGAGCCGACCATAATGAGAGGTTTCTTCCCTCTCCTCCCAAAATTGTTGACCGTGACTAAGGATTAAACAACAGCAAGTCCTAGAGGGCATAGTTATAAACTCATCAAACTTCTTATCTGAAAACATTGAGTTGATTTGACCACCAAATTAAAGAAGATACCTGTCTGGCATTAGACAATCCAATTGACAAGAGTTCATCCATAAGTGCTTCCCAGATAAGCTGACCCCGAAAGAATAGTTTTGTTCCATTCTATGGAGAAAACTGAAGCGATGTTACAATTTGTAAAGGAAATATATGGCAATTGGGGAGATACAATCTATAAAAAGTCTCTCTCTCTCTGAGAGTAGTATTTCAATAGACTAATTCCTGAACCACGTGAAAAACATCAGGTGAACTTGCCTTAAACTCACTTTCAGGGTGCCCTGCGAAAGATCCACCATCACAATATCTTATCTTGACTTTGTTCCAGTTGAAGAAATCTGAAGATGACCAAGACATGAAAATAAAATTTGTTTGCTGATTAAATAAGAATACAATGTGGGAGGTGAAATTAAACTTGAAATTTGTTTTACAAAAGGATAAATCATAAATCTAATAACAACAAGTCTAAGGTGAAATCTTAGTAGCAGGATCTCTAACAGCAAATTTATCTCAGAACCTCTTGGGAGATCGCAAGTCAGAATCTCCTAAGAAC